GTTCCACCGGAGTCTTGTTTTAGTGTAGGTATTAGGGTGTTGGACAACAAGAGAAGTTGTATGAATGATGAAAGTCTAGGGATGTGCATCTGCTTTAAAGATTGACTGGATGTTGAAGATAGATTACAAGACAAAAGAGGGCATGGCACTACACCTAATGTTTCACCTGAAGCAAATGATCAAAATCAAGAACAATAGGAGAAAATGATGAAGTCAATATTTTTTGTATAGCATTTTTTTCAAATTATTGTAAAAATTGTTTTTAATTTTATTTAATTTATTTGATATTTTTTAATAACAATTTTTATTTTCAATTTGTAACTATATTGTATTTTTTTTATATTTTATTAATTTATTCCATTTTCTAATTTTCATATTTCATTCATCCAACCATTGTATGCTTTTTATCATTCAAATTTAAATGAAATAAAATTCCTATTTTTCTTCCAATTTGTTATTCACTTTGAGTCTTTGTCTCTTTGACTTCTTATTTGGTTAAGTATTTTTTTTTTCATTTCTTTGTTAGATTTCTTATTTTTCAAATAGTTCTCAAAGGAAAGTTAAATATTTTAGTTTTACTTAGCAAATAAATAAAAAAAATAAAAAATGTCAAAAAAAACAAAAAAAAGTTTGGCCCGGTTCGGCCTGTGGCCTAGGTTGATATGACCCAGGCCCACGGCACGTCCTGCAGCCCGCTCAACCCAGACCCATGGCACGGTATAGAACGAAACGGGTCCGCACGGGCTTGGGTCATGGGCTGTGTAGGGCTGACCCCCCAAATTATCCTTGGGGAGGGCGGCACAGCCCGCAGACCGGCACAACCCGTTTTACACTTCTAAGTTTTACTAAGCTTGAATAGCCACATATTGGCCCAATTAATGCTACAAGTATTTTAAATACTTTAAGGATTTACAAAATTGAAAATAAACTTTTTCTATTAGTTTTGATAATGCTAATAATAATGATTCGGCAATAAATATTTTAAAATCTCAATTAAAACCATGTTTAGATGGTAAATTATTTCATATTAGATATGCATGTCACATCTTAAATTTATGTATTCAAGATGCTTTAAATATTATTTCTCATCATATTTCTAAAATTAGAAATTGTATAATATATATTAAAAGTTCTGGAGCAAGAAAACAATAATTTAAATATTTATGTCAAAATTATGGTTTAAAATATAAACATTTGGTATTAGATGTTCAACATAGATGGGATTCTACTTATTCTATGTTAGAAAGTTGTATTGTTTACAAACAATTTCTTACTGATTTTTATAATGCAAAAATGCCACATGATGTGATACTTGAGGAAGATTGGAAAATGGCAATTTGTATAAAAGATTTTTTATGATGCAATTAATGAATTTTCAGGTGTTTATTACTCAATTAGTTGTCTTTTAGTTAATCAATTATTTATGATTAGTGAATGTTTTGCAAAATAGAGGAAAAATCCACAATTTCAAAGTATTATTGAAATAATGGAAAATAAATTTAAAAAATATTAGGAGAAAATTTCTCCCCTTTATTGCTTAGTTACAATATTAGATCCTAGGATTAGGAAAAATGGTTTAGAAGTTTTATTTGAACCATATTGTGAAAGTATGAATATTGAAATTGGAAATAAAAAAGAAGAAATTAATAGTTTATTATTTGAAATGTATAGTTTATATGTCTCAAGTGGTAGGGCATAGGAAATCTTGTATAGGTGCAAGTTCCACTTTAAACAGCTAGTTCCAGTAGTGGAAAAGACAAAATTCAGTCTCTAATAAATAAGAGGCAGAAATCTACTACCTCTTCATCAACAAATTCATATACTAAATTTAATTTTTATTTACAAGCAATTTTTTCTACTTTAGCTTATTTATACGACTCGGAGGAATGGGATAGTTTTGATATTTTAGCCTAGTGGAGAAGACATGAAAAAAAAAAACTATCTAGTCTTTGCCACCATGGCATGTGATCTACTAACCTCTCTGGTGTCTACAGTTCCATTGGAGTCTTGTTTTAATGTAGGTACTAGGGTGCTGGACGACAAAAGAAGCTACATGAATAATGAAAGTCTGGAGATGTGCATTTGCCTTAAAAATTGGTTGGATACTGAGGATAGATTACAAGACAAAGGAGGGCACAAGAGCGGAGCTAGTATTTTTTATTGACGGGGGTCAAAACCTAGAAAACATGGATAGGGGGCCAAAAGCTAGGAAACATGGGTAAGAGGGCTAAAATATAATTGGAACTTTATTAGATTTTTATGGGAATTTTGAAAGCATAAGGGGGGGGGGGGGCATGGCTCCCCTCTGCCACCTTTGGCTCCACCCCTAGGAGGGCATGACATTACACTTGATGTTTCACCTGAAGGAAGATGCAGGTGGAGGTGAAACTTGAAGAAAAATGATGAAGTCAATATTTTTATATTTTTTTGTATATTCAATATTTCAATTATTGTATTTTTTAAATTTTATAATTATTGTAATTTTTTTGTCAATTTTATTTAAATTAGTTGTTATTTTTTCAACAATGTAATTTTTTATTTTCAATTTATAATTGTATTGTATTTTATTGCATTTTCCATATTTCATTCATTCATTGACCATTGTATTGTTCAAATTCAAGAAATAAAATTCCTTTTTTTTTCAATTTGTTGTCCATTTTGTATTTTGTTAAGTATTTTTTTTCTTTGTTAGATTTTTTATTTTTCCAATTTGTTCCCAAAGCTCAAAGGAATTAAGGAAAGTGAAGTATTTCGTTTTAGTGTTTACTTAGTAAAAAAAAATAATATGACCCGGTTCAACCCAAGCCCAAGGCATGACCCGTAGACCAATCTGACACAAGCCAGGCCCGCAGCCTGCTTGGCCCAGGCCTACAGCAGGGCACGGCCCAACACGGTCTTGGGCCATGGGTCGTGCCGGACTGACCCCCTGAAGTATCCCAGGGGAGGGAAGCACGGCTTACTTTGGCCTGTGACACGGTACAACATGGCCTGCACTTTGCATGGACCACATGCGGACTATGCCGTGCCAGCCTAACATGGCCCAATTTACACTTCTATCTCTTAAGTGGATAAATAACTTTCCCACTTGAAGAAAATTTTATAATTTACCCATTTTAATATAAGATTTATATAGGTAAAGATGTCATTTTGTTACTTGCCTCAAAATCATAAGAATTTAGTAATTAAGTTACACTTATCCAAATAGGTTAGAATGAGACCTAAATGTTTGTTGTAATGATAAAATGTTGGGCTGTTAAGCGTGAGAACTTAAGTTCTCACGTCGAGACGACCATCTACAAATCAGGGCTCAGCTAATTGCTTCATCTTTTCTTTGTACAAGGCAAGAGAAATGCTAGTTGTGCGAATATAATAAAGTCATTTAGCACAACCGCACAAGATTTCTGAGCTCAATAATCGAATCTACTCAGGCTTGGTGTTAAGTGTGGGCTCCACTGTCAATACGATGGGGTTGGGTACTTGGGTGTATTAGTTGGACAACTTGGAATTATTACTGGGTATTTGCACGAGATCTCCATGCGAATATGCGATGTTTCCTTTTTGCGGAAGGCCGAGCCCAACTTGGAGGCATAACGTCTGTCTCTCTCTCTCTCTTGATACACTTACAAAATACAAATGCATCAGACACCATTAATCAGGAAATTTGTGTAGGTCCACTGCATCCAAAGACGAAAAGGAAGGACTAGACTGAGTGCCAGCGCACAAAACTCCAACACCAACAGGTTCAGAAAGAAACAGAGGTCAGAGGTGGATAAGCCGATAGATAAGGTTAGGAGTCCGGATCTGCTCTCTGCTGCACTTTGTGCTCAGTGCAGTAAGTGCAAGCTGCTAAAAACAAAAAAGTGCAGCAGATCCGAGCTCATACTGAAAAGGTGGGTTGGATTATTGGACCGGATATGGAGATAGAATGGTCTTACGCTGTGGAACCCATGGGCATTTGGATGAATTCAATTGGCCCAAATGAATACAAAGTTACCGATATAGTGATACTTTTACGTGCAAGCAGACATCTTGTGAAAATAAAGCAGAAAACGTTGTAGATGGTAACTAATAAAAATATGAGACGGTGATGAGCTGGGCTACTGCCTTTTTACTTTTGTCAACCTTTCGATGTTAAAGGCTGCGTTTGGTTGCAGTGCAATTTTATTTGCATTATGTGAATATAAATGAAAAGAATGTAAATTCTAGTTTAATTTTGTTTTGGATTTTATCTTATTATGTTTCTTATTTTATTTGACTTCATTTGTATTTCAATCTAAATAAGTTAAATTTTGAAAAAAACAACAACAGAATTTGCATCTAAGGGTGAGCATTATTTGGTTAAAACTGAAAAATAAAACGAATTAAAAATTTCATTTTGGATTTTTCGGTTCAGTTATTTTGGATTTTGATTAATTCAATTTGGTTAGTTTTTTTTTTCGAATATTTTGATTTTGGTTTCAGTTTTAAAATTATAAACTCAGTTAACCAAAAAATTGAATTAATCGAACTTTGATATATATATATATATAACTGCACAAAAAATTTTGGTTTTGGTTTGATTTATTTAATTCAGTTTTTAACGGAATAAATCAAATGCTCACTCCTATTTAAACCTAAATCATTTTCGCTACCATAATTTTGCATCGGTAAAAACCAAACACAGCCTAAAGTTTCAGATTGAAACTGAACATGGGCTCTGAAGGGCAGGGCTAGGTTGTTAGGATGTGGCCCAACCCATCTATGTTCTGCTGAAAGCTTTTGCGCTGGATACCAGGAGTTAATTTGATTCTCCACGGGGCCATGGTTCCTTTCATGTCATATGCTCTACATGAAGACTGGGGCAAGGAATATGATACAAGAAAAGAAAAAAATACCGATAGTTTAGATTTGAAAAAATAGAAAAAACAAACACAATGTGGCAAAAAGAAGATTGGATCTGCTCCTCACACTTGACGCTTCACACGCACATCCTACTATGTATTGAAACATCTCCCTAGTTATTAGTCATTATTCACGGGAGATGTTTCCAACACACGGTGAATGTCCGTGTGAGACGCCCATTTGTGAGGAATAAATCCCGTCACTAAAAGGTTATGTACTGCAAAGTGAAAAAAAAAAAGCATGAATCAATTATGAAGTGAGACATTAAAATTATTATCTTTAATATTGTTAAAGTCTTTAACATGATTGAGTATATACGGCTAAAACTGATAAATCAAACAATAAATTTTGATATTGAAATTTTCAATTCAGTTAATTCAGTTTTTGGGTATTTCGGTTTTTACATTTGAAAGCTTGGTTAATGGAAAAAAAATAATAAATTCACTGAGGAATATATATTCAATATATACAATGAAATTGAATTTTAACCAAAATAAGCAAATAAAAAAAATTCAATTTTGTTGTTTTGGTATTCCTTAATTCGGTTTTTGGTTCAGCTTTACTGTTTAGACATTAATATAATTAATTTTAATTTATTCAGATCGGGTTTTAACTGTATAAATTAAATGTTCACTCCTATACACAAATACATTTTGTAAAACGTGAAATAATGAAAAGATAAATAGATAATGTGACATGTTAAAATTAAAATTTAACATATTACAAATATTCATTACTAAACTATAATACTATATATGAAATTTTATAATAAACCTAAGCTTATGAAATTTCAAACATAACGACTGCGCACCTCGTCACCAATATTTCTTGTTAAGTGAGAAAACCATGTGGCCCCCCTTTACACTTTTCTTTGCGAGAAAAGAATTCCTATTAAACTCAGAGAATTTTAAATGCTGATGCAAGGTTGGGTATCAGTTTCACTTTGTATATGGGCCCATAAGGCTAATATGAACTACCAGACTGAATACGTGGCCAAACTATTGGCTAATATTGGAAGATTTTTCCACGTAGCAGAAATAGGTGAGGGGAGGTTCCACCAAAATCTAACTACTCTTCCCAAGTATCGACAAGATCTTGAGTATCATTTCACTTGTTCGGTAAGGTGAGGTCCCACACTCCCACAGTTCCACTCCCACCCATTCATTTCCTTCATATTTATCTATTCCCTTGTTCGAAAAACATTGCGCTATTAACCATTGGATTGATTTGGATGTCATGATAGTCCAAATCGACGGCCCTACTATAGCTTGATTGTATTTGTATGTCTTGAAAGCCCAAGCCCATTATCCCAATGATGACGAAAACGATTGCCCAAGCCCATCCAACAACCAAAAATATCAGAGGGGAGAGAGAGAGAGAGAGATAGATGGTGTAATTGTTGTATGATTGTATGTACAAGGAAGAAAAACAAAGTGCACACGTGTGCCAATACACGTGCGTAACTCAAATGTCCTACTCCTACCGACCACCCGTTTGTCGGAAGCTCTCATTCAGAACTCAGGACTCAGAAGCTCAGTCTCCTCGGAAGCGACGTCCTCTCCCCTGAGCTCCAACAGTAGCTACTCGTCCTTCTCATGCCCGACCGTACCGGTACAACCTCCTCCCTTTCTATCTCCACAGACGCACCTCTACTCTCCGCCGTTGATGATCTCTCCTCCTGTTGACGATCGCAGCAAGTACACTGGTTATCGCTTCTGTCATTCGCCGCCTGCTCCTCCTCCTCCGCTATATCCACAGAGACGTCGCTGTTCTTGGGGAACAACTGCGTGGAGCGGCAGAGGGGACACGACCCATGAGCCGACAGCCAAATGTCTATGCACTGTGGATGAAACACGTGCCCACAGTAAGGAATCACCTTCACGGCCTCCCCCTCGTCGAATTCGCTCAGACACACGACGCAGTCGACGGGCTCCTTGGCGCTCCCGTCGTAGGCGAACACCGGCAGAGACTTAACGGTATTTGGGTCGAGACCACGGGGGCAGGACGCCGACGAGGCTGACCCCGCCCTGCGCTGCTGTCGTCGGCGGCGTGAGAGATCGAGGGTGTTCTCTTCGGCGAAGCGGCGGATGTAGATGGAGAAGAAACCCATGAAGAAGAGAGCGGTGAGGAGCACCACGACGGTTAAGGCCATGGAGGAATCGAAGGTGGAGATGGGTTGCAGGGGCCTTCTAGTAGTAGTGGAAGAGTTATTTGCAGGGGTTAGAGTTGGGACTGAGGAGTAGCCATCTCGAGGCAGAGAGGGTGAGTGGCTGGTTCCCGGAGGCGCATCGTTGTTGAGCAACTTACGAATGTGGGGCTTCATGGATGGATGAGTGGATTGTTGGTGAGATTGGAAAGCGCGGTTTGCAGAGATAGAGGGAGTGATAAGAATTGAGGGAACGAGAGACAACGTGAACAGAGGATCTTCAGATCTTGGCTTTATACAATTTGTTTGCTTTTGGATTTGAAAATTCAATTCTGAACTCTGGAGAGAGAGAAAGCTGCGACTGTTGTGGATGGAGATTGGATAAGAGAAAGAGGAGACAGACGGACAAATTGACGATGAAGCTTTGATTTGGAGTGGATCTGGATGGGTTTTAGGGGAGAATGGCCCACAAAACAGAGAGAGACAGAGACATGATTGAGGGGCATATGCTGTCTGTGTAAACAAGAATTTGAGAGGAAGCGATGAAACTGCAACAGTTTGCAAGTTGCATTGCACCCGGGTTTGTAGAAAACAAGGAAACAGCCTCCGGTTTTTGGGTTTGGCAGGTTCAGCGCTTCACTTCTCTACTGTGGGACTGGAACTGGGTTTTAATTCTAAATTCTAATAAATATCCTGTGAAGATATATTTTTTTTAATAACAAAGAGAGGGCCAGAGACGGGACTATAATATGGGTTCGAGTCTTTTGGATGTTGACTGAATGTGACTGTATTGGTCTTAGTTTTAGCAACTACAACAACCACCACCTATCTCCAGTCTCCACCTCGGAGACTGAGAGGGAAAAGCAAAAAGTAAAGAAACAGAAAAGAAGATTAACCAGTCCCAAAAAGTGGAAAATGTGAACAGTTGTTTGAAATATAATTGGTGATCAATAATATATGGATTAATTAATGGGTCTCATCTCATCTCACCTCATCTATCTGCATTTGCCTTTAGGGTATTTATTGCACTAAAGTTAAGAGATAAGTATCTGAAATAGGCAACCAACCAAATCAACCAGGTCAATTTTACTGGTTATGTTGATCTGTGGCATGCCAGATGTTTTAGTTAGAAACCATTTGATGGTGGGTTTTGATTCTTCATGGGTAACTCATTATAAGGGGTCCCAGAAGTATGGTCTCCTCTCCTCAGACCCAAGACGCTACCTCATTAGTAATGGAGCACTTTTGCAAGGGCCCTTTGTCCTAAACCTAACAGTCATTTACATAAGATCTCTAAACCATCATTTCATTTTATCCATGAGATCTCTCCTTTTCCATAGCTGACAGTTCACAATCAGTAAGCCCAGAGCTCTGGTGCAGGCAGAAGCCAGCCCCCCGGCCCTTGCAACAAATGCTCCATGTTGCATATCCATCACAGGAAAGCTTTTGTCTCAAGCAATGGACTCAGGGTCTATCATCAAAGCTGTGAAACCCTAGCTTTCCTCAGTTTGGCTGAAAAGAAAGAAAAAGAATCTTTCTTTCCCAATTCATTTCCTTTTCCCTGAGACGCTCTCTAGTATTACAACCTGATTTTTCTTTTGACCAAAGAGCAGAAGAATCAAATAGGGTCCGTGTGATAAAATATGTACTCTGGAGTCTGGAATACTGAAATATGGATAAGTTGGGATTTGGTAATTAAGCAGATAATTGGGGGGAAAATATCCAAACCACCAGCCCTGCAGCTCTGTGTAGGCGGTTTATAAATACAGTAGGTAGGTCTGAAGCAAGAAATGGGCTAAAAGACAAAAGGGTTGCTCTCAAATCATCCTAATAAACATAAAGCGACCCTTGTTTCTTTTATAGCTTGCGTGGCTCTCTCCCCACTTCTCCCATCAATCCAAATCCAAAACACGGCCCCACTACTAGTAATTAAACAAAACAAAAACCCAAATCCATATGGATTTCATATAGATAGAGGCGGCCCGGCCTTTAGTCAGCATTTAGTTTTTCACATTTGGCAGCTGAAGGGTCCCACTTCCACGTGGCAAAAAGGGGTTCAATGAAACTTGAGAAATAAATCAATACATAGTAGGTATAGGGATGACGTGGGCCAGATTCCTAACAGATGGATGGCTTGGATTGGCCACGTCGACGCCGGCTTTGATGTGGGAAAAGAATATGATATATTCATATTGACATGTAGTAAGCAAAATTAGCTTGCTCATGTCTAGGGGATCAACGTCAGCTACAGCCACTGGTTTTCTTAGCAAAGACTATCTTCTTATATTAATCACACTTAAACCCACTATTTTCAAAACCGAACCAGACCAGATGGTCAGACCAAAAAAACCGGGAACCGGTCACCTGACCGGTTTCATTTTTCTCCAAAACCGCTTTTTCCCTCAAAACCATTGATTTTGGTCAATAAACCGCTGCATCGGCCGATTACCCGTCCAAACCATTTGAACCATTCAAACGGTTTTGACCATTTTCCAATTTTGAATTTTTTTTATCAGAACGGACTGGCCATATGGATCGAACGGTTGGACCGTTCGAACCAGTAACCGGACCCCTGACTGGTTCGGTCACCAGTTCGTTTTTAAAAACCATGCTTAAACCGTGTTAGCTGATAAGTCTAATCATTGAAAATAACAGTGATAATACTGAAATAAGAGAGGCACCACAGACTATTGATTTGCTGCTTCATTGTTTCTTGCAGCCGTTCTCTGTACATGGTCAGCTCTGGGCTGAGATTGTTTATCGGTTCACTAATGGTAGACTTCTAGAGTGATCTTCCAATTTGCTCACCATTTTACTCCATTGACCTGCGCCCATCTTTGCGTGTTGTCTTCTCTCTCTCTCTGGGCATGTTATTCATCCTAGTGCCGTAGGAATTACGATCTATTATTGGTAGGCAGAAAACAAAGTTCAAATTGTTTTCTTATATAATTTTTCGGAAAACCATTTTCATTGTTGAATTGTGGGAAAACCAAAGTTGTATTTGGATAAGTTTCTGCTCCATTTGGAAGGAGTACAAATATGCAAAACCTTTTATTTTATATTATTTTGTATATATTTATACGGTGCATATTTGTACTCCATCCAAACTGAGTCTTCAGGACTAGTGTTTTTAAAGCCTAAAAGCACAAAAGCCCAATTTCAGAGCCCGTTTAAGAGAGCTTCAGCTTTGATTAAGCTACTTTCACTGAGACGCTTGAAGAAGCTACTAGAAATATTCACCGGAAAATCACTTTCTTGGCTCAATGAAAATATAATTGGGCTTTCTGGGTTTTCCACTAAACATAGCTTCTAAGCTTTCCATGTGAAACCCACCTTGCAAAGTCAGAAGCCACTACATGAAACTCTCTCAAACAGGCACTTGGGAAATTGGGCTTTGTGCTTTGGGGCTTAAAAAATGCATTGGCTTCATATTGCTATGTTTCTGAAAAAAAAAAAAAAACAATTCTTACCAAACGCTTGAAACAATTTTTTCCCACATCCCAAAGCACAAAAACAAAAGTTTATCCAAATGAAGCCTGAGCCTGAATCGAAGTCACTAATCTATTTGGTCAATCTAGATGAATTGGGATATGCTCCCAACAAAACTGTCCCAACACACTTCGAACATGATCTATTTGCACACCTCACCACGAGGCTGGGGCCCACCATGATGTGTGGACACAGATCATGTTGTAACGTGTTGGAAGTTGGAACAGTTTTCAGTTGGGACCAAACCCCACTAGATGCTAGATACATCTATGAACCCAGACACTCCCCAGTGGGTAGACCTGTTCATGGGCCAAAATTTGAATGGGTCCACCCCAAATCCCAAGCCTGACATAATGTAAGTTAAGCCCAAAGCCCGGCCCGTGAACAGGTCTACCAGTGGGTCCATCTCAAGAAGCAACTCAGATCTGCCCACAAAAATCCTACCCACACGTACCCACATGACACATTAAGAACATCGCCACATGAATGATAACATTCGAACATGGGAGATGTTTTCAATGTACAGCTGTAATGAGGCGTGGGTAGGAAGATTTCTAAGTATTCTGAAAATATTTCAACATTTCAAAATTTTGGCGAAAGCAAATTTAGGCAAATTATTCAGCGAAACTTCTTAGTGTAGTTGAGTGAAATCAGAATATTTTGAAAATTTACACAATTGCAGCCAAGTTCTGAATGGGGGGGGGGGGGGGNGGGGGGGGGGATGAGATGGCGTTTGTCAAAACCACGCCACCTTCGTACTGCAATGCCATGTTCACTCAAAAGTCAAAACCATTCATGCAAATGAAAATCAAAATAACAATATACAATGAAAGACAAAAATATTGTCCACAATCTATTTGGTAATTCATTCATAATTTCATATGATAATTGATAGCAAATCATTACATGTAAGAGCTCCATGAGGTATGAAATATTAAACCTCCTATATTAATCCATACTTCAAATCAGTTGGATGGTTACATCTTTTCTCTAGCAAATTTTCAGTAAGCCTGTATATGGATTATGGGGAAAATTTGAAAATGGAACAGAAAATTTTCCAAAATCCACCACTTTTCTGTGTTTTCTTCTCATTCTGTAAAATGAGTTGTGCAGAGAATAAAAACTACTGTACTCAATGTGTGTTTCATCAATGGAATAGAAAATAAATAATTAGGAAGGCTAGCAATTCCATTATCCACCAAATCCTGGAATCCATGCCCTTCTTCCTATCTGCCCCACAATTCAAACACAGCCTAAATAAGACTTGCAATAAAATTTTCAAGGCTGAGAGAGCTGACATGCCTTTGTGAAAATCAAAATGGAAAGTATGCATGCTAAACATATACTACTAACTATTTTCAAGATTTTGTATTTACTTGCCTTGCTCGTTGTGAGGATGATATATTTAATTTAACTCAGAACAATGCATGTGCTATACTGCTATCTATCCATCTATCAGATGGATGAAATAATAGAACATAAATTTGAATTGGAGAATGGTTTGCCAAGAACATCAAAATACACAAAATTGATGTTTGTTCCTATCGTATGGTATTATATAACAAACTAATGTGGAGATGTACATACAAATTTACAAGGACTCACCTAGAGGATGAAACCAATGCAGGCTGGGTTTTCCGTTGACTCAATTTCATATACAAACCCTGCAACAATGATTCCCATTAAAACACATCATTTGAAATATATCTGCATCAAAGTCATTCATCATTGCAATGACAAAAAATAACACCAGAAATTCTCTAGCTTTCTTCAAAACATGGATCATGAAAAAAAAAAGTAGTTGAGTATTATTACATTGGTTGTATGAATTGTAGCTCCTGTGGTCATGCTAATTTTCTGGTCAGGAACCAAATCGAAGTCAAAGTGTTGCAGAAAAATTGCAAGTGCAACAATTGCTTCAAGCAAAGCAAACTGATCGCCAACACACTTTCGAGGACCTCCACTGAATGGAATGAATCTACAATATAAGTTCTCCAAAGTTAGATACTCCCAAGGATGATGAATTATGATGGAGCAGGAGAATAGTTGGTTGTTCACAGAAAGAAATCAGGGATGAGCTTTAATGAGAACCTTCATGACAGGACATTTTTGAGCCGTCAATCAGGCTAAAATTACTTGATTCGGACTCACAGGGATTGATATGATGCATATGTTACTGTAACACTTGGAAGGTGAGATATAAAGCCCAATACAGTAGCTTCTGTACAAATGCGTATACTACCAGGAAGCCCAATGTATCCTGTTAATCCCTCAACTGAAATGTTCTATTTCAAAGTTTATATCCCGGGACAATCCAGTGAATCCTCCCAAGGACTCCATCTTGGCTCCTCTTGGATATAGGTACATTAAAAATGACTCAAATTACTGAAGAATTCAATTATTCCAAGATGGGAAGATAAATAATGATCTAGAATCAGAAAGGAGTCTTGATCCCATATTTAGAAATATCTAGGACAAACAAATACCTGAAATCAGTGTTAGTCTCATTAGGCACCGGCCCTTCCAAGTCAAATCTTTCTGGAACAAATTCTTCTGCTCTCTCCCAAACCTTAAGAAACACAACCATACAAGTGAATATATTACAATTTGCAAATTTAACCAAAAAATTACAATTCCTGTACCAGTTCTTACTTTTGCAGAGCTCACACATTGAAATTTGACCCAGTTTAAATTGTGTTAGATCATATTTAGACTCACCAAGTTTTGGTGCCCAAGATTCAAAATTATAGGCAGTTTCTGCTACTGCTATAAATAACAAAAATAACAATCCAAAAATACAGGATCATACCTGTGAGGAATGGTGTATATTATACACAGATATCATTATATCTTGACCGGCATTAACCTTATAATTTCCTGGAAGGACATCAGCTACTTGAGCCCGCCTTATCAGCACCTGCAAATATTGCAAAGTGGCGTTGTCAGAAACAATTGTTACTGCAAAAAGAAAACTCCTCATCATTTACTTTATAAGGAAAACACTTGCAACCTACAGGGGGATGTGGGTATAGACGTAATGACTCATTTATGCAACGTGTTAAGTACTTCAGCTCTTTTATATCTTCATAGGTAGGAGGCCTTCCCTGAAGGACTTTATCAACTTCATCTTGTGCTTTAGTCAGAGAGGATTTATCCTGCAGGTAAGGCATACCAAGAAATGGTTCAATGTAGGTTCAAAGTACTGATTTCACTAGCATAAAAACACAAGGTAACCTGTCAAAAGATTGAACAGAAAACTTATATGATGGAAAACATGAAAAATGAGATGGTTTTGTAAAAGTAGGTGGCAGGACCCAACCCAACATGAGGGACTTTTTTTATCAGTAACATCAGGGACTGTTTTCTTTTAACATTCTTTAAATTCATTATAAGTACAAGTTTTTTTTTTTTTTTTTTGAAAATAAAAGAACAGGAATTTTATTAAAGAAAAAAAAAACACTGACTACAATCAAGAAGGTGCTAAGATAGCACCACCCAACAAACGCAAAACAAGCAGATTCCAACTAAACAATAAGAAGACAGCAATGCAACTGGCAAAAACACCTTTTCAACAGCTCAGATCACCCCGAGAGACAGCACCTAAGCAAACAATCTCATACCTCATCATCAAAACAACCTTCCTTCCCTACTTCCTCATTCCAAATTTCTCCCCCTTCCCCAACCCTGGTCTTAAGACTCATCCCTCCTCTTCTCATACTCCTCAAAAGCTCTTCTTGCAAAAGCCTCACCTCCCAAGAAGAATAGACCCAAAGACTTACCAACCTCCACCTCCCTATCAACAAGCACACTTAAATCTACTCTTCCTTGTTGTGCCTTCTCCCTACCAAATGTCCACTTTGATTCAAATCCACCCCCCTCCCCCCAGGAAGAATATTCAATGGAAAATCAAAACTCCTTTCAAGGTCCTGTGCATTCTGACCTTCCCCAGCCAGCGCATCAAATATTGGGAATCTGGGTTTACTCCCTTTTCTTTTGTACAGTTCTTTAAATTTGTTAGTTGGACCAAACCCCACATGCACTAAATGGGTTTTGTTTGAAGGTCTTGATTTTTTCAACAATGAATCATCAGATTCGGTTTATCCTCCTACGCCAAATCTACACCAAGCTTTCCAACCACCACTTCAGCAACCAAAGACGTCTCACTGTTTTCATTAAACGTATCTTTGTTCAAAGTAGGTTCGACATGAACAGAAGCCACATCACAAACCTTAACTACTGTCTATATCCCATCCGCCCCTTCTTCCTTGTCCTCTACTGCCTTTCCTTTCTTAACTCTCTCCTTTGCCTCCACGATCGAGACCACTCCATTTCTAGAATAATCCATAGCCCCCTTCTCCACATCCTGAAGGCAACCAATGTTCCCTCCACCTGCTTCAGCGTTCCCTCCTCGAGACTTCTTTCACCTTAAAATCAGAATAAGCCTTAACCCTGACACCTTTCTTCTTAGGACCTCTTATTTTACTTGCTCGAGAATCAAACTTTGAAACTAAGCAATTCCCATAAAAAAGGTGTCCTCACTTGACCTTTTAAGTCCTTTGACAACAAGGGAAGACTTTTCACCTTCTTGTCTCTAAAGCTCCCCAATAGCCTCTTTGACTTCCCCCTCCTCCCAAAGTCCCCAGCCACGTGGCCTTCATTAAATAAAACCACCTCCCCCCTCCAGCTGAAATTACCCTTCTACTCCCTGATCTTTCCTGCCCATTGTCTTCTACCTCTGGACATCCCTTCATCTTCCCGTTTAAAGCCTAACCAGCAAGAAGAACCTCTTCCCTCCCAATCTCTTCCTCCTACTTCCTTATCTCCAAACTATCCACAGTAAATACAGAACTCCTCTCCACCCTCCAGAAGGTTTGGTCTTCCCCTTCCAAAAAGATCCACAGATCATAAGGTTCCCCTGCAAAGTGCAACTCTACATCATTTGGGATTTCAGCTAAATCTTCAACTTCCGCAAGAATTCTCACAAAATCTATCTTTTCCCAACTCCTATTTCTCACATCAAAACTCAAAAATTTTCCACAGAGGTCTCCAATCTTTTTGAAGGTCAATGGTCCCAAGCATGCAGGGGAATTCCCACCACACCACTAATTTTCTCCTTCCGTTTAGAACTGCCCCTGCTGCTGGAAACCACCAGCCTAACCTTAAGTTACATTCATCTTCTCCTTCTCTGACTCCAAAGTCCAAGCCACATCGTCTCTGCTCTGGAACATAAACAGGAGCAAGCCACCAGCCAAATTTATCACACCCAGAACTCTTACCCCATTCAAGCTTTGCCTAGGCCTCAACCATCTCCTTCTCCAACTCGGAGCCCACAAACCTACCAATGAGGCACACCTCCAAAACCTTCAGCCACTCATTCAAGTTTTCTTCTTGTCTCACATTGACTTGGACCACAACAACATCTCGACCTCTGGTGAAATTCATTATCATCACTACCAATGATTTAATCCATTACTTTTTGCCTCCAAAGCCTAACAGTGATCCCATTGTCTAGAAGGTTGTTGTGTATGGGCTAGTCTTTCACATTCTTTTCCTCTTTTGAATACAATTGTGAGTTCAATATAGAATTTACCTTCTTAGAAAAAGGAAAAGAAATGCAAATGTCTGTATATTTGGGTCCTTGTGTATACAAAGCCAACAAAAATTACAAAAATGAAATTTTGTTATTTGAAAAATATGTCAATAAATGGAAAATGTGTAAGAGGAAGCAAAAAAGCCAAACTTGTACTAGGGTCAACATAGAAAAGCCTTAGAATAGCCTATGAAGAGACCTTAGGATATGTAGAGAAGATGGGCCGAATGGCCCATAGGCTGTTTATCCTTTCTTATCTTTTATGTTCTTTGCTGTAATGGGCCTTATTTTGGGCCTATTTATGTTATGTTCTTTTAATTTCTTGCCCAACTAAGGGCCTCTTTGTAAATTATTAAAGTTTAACTTAATAAAATAGTGTTAGGGGTGTAAGAGTAGAGATTAAGGTTCGAAACTYTCTTACTCTGAACCCTTATTGCCGCCATCTTCTTCTTCATCTTCTCTTCCTTAGAAGAATGATTTCTGTTGTTTTATTTTGATTTCTGCATCTGTTCTAAACAGTCCTTTATTCTCAAAAGACTGTTTTTCTTCTTGGTATCAGAGCAGGCTCGTTTTTCCCTCTTTTTCACCTTTTTTTTTTCCCATACACAGTGTGTATGGAGAACTGAACCGTACGGACTGTTAGAGGTCTCGGTTCTGCCCAGTTGTTAGTGGTTTCTGGAGAGAAGGGGACTGACTGTGTCGCCTCCTTGGCTGATTCCAGTGTACTACCCGAAACCCTAGTTTCCTAAAGAAATCTGTTTGCGAGCTCCGCAGGGTGTTTGGACTGGGTGCTCAGTGTTTGGAGGTTTTCTGATTTTATTTCTTGAAGACTGAACCAAGTTGGTTGGTGTTCCGTGTAGTCTACAAGGTGCGGCTTCTGTTTCTGTTTCTCCCAGCTTTCGGGTGTGACTCAAATTTGTGGTACTGCTGCATTGAGGTAGGCTTAACACAGTTTTTGTTCCATCTTCATTCGGTGTCTTTTGAAGTTGATTGAAATCCTTTTGAAGTGTTTAAAGAGATGAACTCCTCAGAGATTGAAAACAAGAATGTTGTTGAATCTAGGCAGGTTCCAGGAGCCTCTGTTGACTCTTTACTGATTGTGACCACAGTCAAGCTGGATGGAACTAATTATCTGGCATGGTCACAATCGGTAAAAATTCATATCTGTAGTAGAGGAAAGTGGGGTTTTATCTCTGGGAGCAAAAAGGCTCCCTCAGAAGATGATCCATCTTATGAGAAGTGGATGCAAGAAAATTATACTGTTATTGGGTGGCTTGTGAACTCAATGCAGCCACAGATTAGTCAGCACTATTTGTGGATGAATTCAGCAAAGGAAATCTGAGATAGTGTTGCTGAAACCTATTCCCAAAAATTAAATG